ATTTTTATTTCATTTTCTACATAAAAAGCATAGCTCGCATTGCTGTGGATATAAAAGCTTCTAGGTCTGTAAGATTCTAAGGAACAATCGAAACTTTAAACACTCACTTACCATATATAATGTTTCAGTCACCATCTTCAATCATCAACAGTTAACATGACTAAGACAAACTTAAACCAGTGTTAAAACTTAAGTTTAGACTGTAATCGTCTAAACAGACAAGAGCCTTTTTGATGTATTTTGTGTTCGTTTTTTTTTTGCATCTTTCTTTAGCTTGTTCATATGTGGTTATACTGTATAAATCATGGATCTAAATAATTTTGGATTGGAAGATATGGCATATCCGCCGTAGACAGTTAATAAAAAATCGATATCAGTTTAATCAGAAACAACTGACCTGTTATAAGAACTATTATAATTTGTTGTTTTATGGAATTTATCACGATTTATGTTGTATATTAAAATCTAGTTCTAACTTTATATAAGTTCCCATATTTAAGGCAAATATAATTTCATATAAAATATTTAAAACAAAACATTCAAAATTCCATATTTTGTGTTTTTCAATGTCAAATATAATTTCCTTTTCTATTTCATGTCTTTAGTAAGAACCACAAAAAATTTTTCTTCCCTGCTATGTGAAGAAATGAATATGCCGCCTGTTTTACGAGTACAGCAACACAAATTGAATGTAAAAACCGAATAAACAGCAGGAATCAAACTAAAACGTTGTGTGATTATGGTAGCTCAGGAAAAGTATTACCACAAGCAGATAAGTGTTATACCAAAAATATCGCATAAATACAGCTTCATATAAAACTTAACATAAGTGAATTGAAGAAAATTTCTCTCATTGAATGTGCAGAAGCGGTAAAATAAAATTTTTACCAAACAAAATTTAAACATAAATAGAACAAGATCCAAAAAATAAAACCAACAAAATTTGACTCTATACTTCGAGTATTATAAAAATTAAATTTTTAAATAGATTTTTTGTGATACAAGGAATTATTAATATATTTTAATTATGCTCTTTATAATATTTTTATTTAAAACTTATGCCTTCCAGTTAGCCCAGGTCTTGATTTCATTGTACAAGTTGTTACCGGGACATTCGGTGGAACCAACTTGACGATGTCCATAAACAGTGTAGCTAGATGATACATAGCCTTTGCTGACCAAATAAGCAATCAATTCCTTAGCCTTGGCGATTTGAGTGGCGGTAGGTTTATAGTTATTATAGTCACCAATGAACATAATGCCATAAGATTTGCTGTTCCAGTTGGTAGCGTGTGCACCCATAACACCAGCACCGCGGCCCTCATAAATGTTACCATCAGCACCAATACCGTAGTTGTAACCAATATCGGCCCAACCTAAGGAATCCATGTGGTATGATTGCATGTTACGCATTTGTTGTTTGCAGGTATCCATGGTGCTGCAGTAAGCGCCAGCTGAGTGGTGGATGACTACATAGCTTAAACCAGTGGCAAGATAGGATTTTGAAGTAGCAGCACGTCCACCCCATTCAGACTTACTGATGATGGTGATACCAAAAATGCCATTGGCACCTTACAAAAAAATTATAATTAATTAAAAAATTATAATTAGTTAAAAAATTAGTTAGTTCTTGAACTTTTAAACACACATTAATTTAAAAATTAACTTAATTTATATATACAAAATAAATATAAAATTAATATATTTTTTTAATAAAATTTTTATATGACATTATCAGCACTACTAAGTACTATTTATTTATATTTGTAATATTATTTTTTTACTTCATATTTAAAATGTATTAATATATGTTAATGTTTCAAATATTCATATACTTTTATAAATACATTCATTATTTATATTAAATTTTAACTGTTACGTTTATTGTACTTTTCCTTCATACCACATTGAATAAATTATTTCTGTTCATTATTTTATTATTTTTTTTTATTGTTTTCATTTATTTTTGTTATTTTAATTTTAATATTCTTTAATTGTATTATTTTTTTAAAATTTTTTTTATTTTTATTTTCTTTATTTTTTATTTTTATTTTCATCTTTTTATTTTTGTTTCATTTTATTTTTATTTTCTTTAATTTTTTTATTTTTATTTTCTTTAATTTTTTTTATTTTTATTTTCTTTAATTTTTTTTATTTTTATTTTATTTATTTTTTTTTATTTTTATTTTCTTTGATTTTCTTTAATTTTTTTAATTTTTTTTATTTATTTTGTTTAATTTTTTTTATTTTTATTTTATTTATTTTTTTTATTTTTATTTTATTTATTTTTTTTATTTTTATTTTATTTATTTTTTTTTATTTTTATATTCTTTAATTTTTTTAATTTTTTTTATTTATTTTCTTTAATTTTTTTTATTTATTTTCTTTAATTTTTTTTTTATTTTTATTTTCTTTAATTTTTTTTTTGTTTTTATTTTCTTTAATTTTTTTATTTTTATTTATATTTTTTTTTATTCATTTTATCTATTTGAATTTTTTTAATATAACTATAGGTCACAAGTTTATTAATCGTTTACCTTTTTATTTATGTAATATAAAAGTTATTATTTAGTTTACTTTTTTATTATAATTGATATTGTTTATAAATTATATTTTTATCATTAATATTTATATCTTTATATATATATTTAGCATAAATTCTTTTGAAATTAAACTCTTTCAAAATTTATATTTTCTAATTTATTTTATATTTTATTGATTTATGTCAATTATCATGAAAAAATGTATTATATATTAACACTTCAATATAATATAGCACATAAATTAAACCGTATTATATTTATTTTTATTTTTGTTTTTATTTATTCGTTCAATTGTTTTTTATTACTTATTATATTTTTTTGTTAAATTTTTGATTTTAGTTACATAAATATTAACACTTTTTTTATATTTTGTAATTTTATATTATTAATTTTTTATTAAAAACAACTTACAGCACAAAACTGCGAGGAGGGCGAGGAAGAACTTCATTCTGTTTAAATAAGTTTAAATAAACTGTTTTTTAAAGACAATAAAGCAGTATTTATATACTAATCACGGGACATCTTCCAATAATAATACAAAAAATAATCTCAAGCTTTAATTAATATATTTTCCGAGTTCTCATAATTTTGTTATCACCGACTGCGTGTCTTTTTGATAATCTTTTAACCGAGTTCTTAAGGCGCAAATCTAAATATATTATCAAAAAGTTATTTTTATGCGTAATATCCAAATATTTTATGTATTTCTAGACAGCTGTGGTCTCTAGAAGAAAATAACATATTTAAGATAACAAAATCGATTACTTATCGGTTAAAACTGAACGGATAACAAAATTAATTAAAAACTGTACTTTGCTGCGTATACGTTACAGTAAAATCAAATAATTAATTTTTTTTTAATATTTTAATGGAATATAGTTTCATTTTTATTTTTAATAAATAATTTAATAACAAAACTTAAAATTTAATTAATTTTTATTAATAAAAGTGGAGAAAAAAGTTTTCAAGATTTAGTCTTGTGTAGCAAATATCATAAATTTTTCATTTAGAAAAACAAAGTCCATACTGTTACTGGGAACGAATAATTTTGGTTGTTATTTGACATTCCTAATTACTATTTAATAATAAAATTGCTTATTGATGCAGATTTAAATATGTAATATATACATATGTAATAGATATGTACTCTTATATACATGTTTGCATATTGCGTTATGTTAATAACACAAGAATATTTCTCAACTAGTAACAGTAATAGTTTTGTGTTTATTAGAAATAATATCTTTTCAAATATTTTATCTATTAAAAACAATTTAAAAGTTTTTATGTAGAGTCAGATTTTCTATCTTCGGCATTTATGTTTTAGAAATTTTTCCGGAAAAAATTGTAAGTTTCTCATGATTAATATACATATCTCATTATATACAGCTGCTTATAAATATAAATACAAGTATTTTGTACAAAAATCTCCATAGATGATATTGGATATGTTTGCATTGCTTCAATATTGTTTGTAATCTAATGAGTGCAATAACAACTCCAAAACAATCCGATTATTTTCAGCATTTACATATAAAATATTTTTTTCCCAAAGAATCTACAACTTTTCAATATTTATACAGCTGCCTAAGTCCTCTGCGTAGGAAAGCATCTTTACCGTGCACCAAGAGATAACCATGAATATAAAGACGACGAGTATGTTGTACGAGAACCTCAAAGAATGCTATTAGATTATTGGATATTCACATCGCTGCTGTTACATATATTCACTCTAGTCTTTGTAACGTACAGAAGGTGTGGATTAATAACCGTTCTTGGACTTGCACCATTTTTTCGGACTATCGACCTATAAGTCAGTATTATTATAGCTCTGACAATTTCTGTGTAAATCCACCGCAATTCTTTAAGTACATGCTCTCAATCTTACCCTGCGTTTAATTCAAATTTAATTCGTGACCTTTCTTGCGATTTTTGCAAGATTGTTTCTAATTGTTTTTAAAAAGCGGACAAGTTTTAGAAGCTCAAGATTTTATTTTTTTATGAATTAAATACTGTTGACATTCTCACTGGAATTCTATTCAGTCGAACATTTAAGTACTAATTCTTAACAAATTTAAATTGTAGTTAAATTTAATCACATAAAGTTTCTATACATTTTTCTCTGCAGATTCCAAATATTTTCCAATTATTCCAAATTTTATTTTTCTTCATTCTCCCTAGAAAGAAATTTTCCTATTCGATACAAGTTTCTCCTGAGGAAAGTTGTTGCCATAAAATTTGTAAAGAACTAAAAGTCAAAAGTTTTGAACATCAATATTCGCAACACTTCCAGTTCTTCTCCACAAATATTTATATTTCAAAATAAAATAAAATAAAAGAAAAACAAATTAAACAAAAAAAATAAATACGCAACTACTTAAGTATTGAATTTTGCATTTAATTAATTAAAATTTTTGATGAAAAATTATAAAACGGATAAGTGCAATAAATGCAAAGACAAAGTTTTGCTAGAAGAAATTTGCGGAACACCCCTAATTCGCTCGAGATGAAGCATCTGGATTATTTTCCATTTATAGAAGGAGTCACTTGCATTTGAAACTAAAATTAATAAAATTTGACCATTAAAACTAAAAATTAACCTTATATTAAAAATTATAATAAAAGCTAATATTAATATTGATTTGTAACTAATGTAAGAGCCGAACCTAATTGAAATTAATTTGAGATTGAACAATCACATCTTATTTTTACTGTTGTCTCCTACAATTTGGTTGAGAATAACCTACTACCAAATTGTACTAGGTTTTGTTTTGTGAAATGATGCCAAAGATTAATTAATCTTTAATTTATTAAAGAATATTAAAGAACAAGGATGAGTGCAATAATATCATCAGAACAGCACTGAAATTTTAAAATTTAAATTTTAGTTTCCGATAGTTCACCCAATAGTTTATCGAATATAATAATCAATATGAGTAAGGATAGTACACCACTTTACCGAAACCTACATGAGCCTATACATTTATTTTTTTTATATTTTTGCATTTTACTTTTCAATAGTGCCAAAGGATAATAAAAAGTTTGTAAATATATAGTTAATCTTGAGCCTTTTCCGAGTTAATGCATCTAAGCACTCTGATAGTTTGGGGGTTTCAGCAGAGTCCCACCCTTCTTACTGACTAATTTATGTGTTCTTCAAAAGCTTCGTGATTATTTGATGACTTATTTAAGATCTGTGTACCGCCCCGTGCGGTTAGTAATTATTCTGAGAATAGATAGAGCTAAATAGGCCAGCCTGTCGGTTTTCTCGAACAGCATCAGGGCTCTGTCCGTTATGTATTTTTTGACCTGGCCTATTCTAAGGTCTCTTAACATGTCTTTTGTGCAGATGTCACTTTGAAGAGTGTTCGGAGAGCCTGGCTTTGATCAACTTGCAGCTGCTGGATAGTAGAGTTTGCAGCTTTGTTATACGCGGCACACCTATAGAGTAGTGTTAGTCCGATTATCTGGCTAGAGATCAACTTTCTGTTCTTCACGCTAAGGTTATTGTGTTGGAAAAGTGATTGTAAGCAGTAAATTAATTTAGTTAAATATTTGGCAATTAAGGTCTTTCAGTTTATATATTTCAATTTTATCATTTTATTTTTAATGAGTATTATGATTTTTTTTAACTGCATAAGAACTATTTTAATATCGATAACTATGATTTAACAGCTGACAATTGTTCCCAGTAAGGTTTGGTAGTTCATCATAAATCGTTAGAACAACATTTCCAAATTGTAAACATTAACTTTGAAAAAAATGAATTTGTTCACGAAGTTCATAGAGCACTTCGTCCATTTTTCGGTCAACATAATCCACCTAGTGGGCAAGCAATTCGTGCAGTTATTGATCATTTTCGCACTAATTTTATTCTTCTGGATTCAAAACCATCAACAATAGACCATTTGGTGCGGTTTACATACTGGCGGCATCATTGATCCTAATTTCTTTCGAAATGAGGAAGAAGCTGCCGATACGGTAAATGATGAACGTTACGGTTTTCAAAAATTAGTTAAACATCGACAAAGTTTGGTTCCAACAAGAACCAAGTTCCATGTGCAACTTGCCATACAGCGTGCTTAACAAACGATTTATTGCGAAATCAATTTGGTGACAACTTTATTTAACTCCTTGTTAAAGCGATTTGACGCCTTTTGATTATTTTTTATAGATCTATAGAATAGAATAGAATAGAATAAAAATAAACAGGGTACAAAGACAGGATAAGACATTTCGCTTTTGAATGAAAGCCAGCATGTCAGCCGCTGATGACCTCTTAATGTCAAAGGGGAAGAGTAGATCTCGACCCAGTGACCTCCTCTTGACCCAAATCAAGGCCATATGGATCTATGTTAAGTCATTAGTTTATCCCGACAACCGACAAACCAGCAACTCTTGCAGCATTGGAAACCAATGTTCATGTCACCATTGACGATTGATGCCATATGGTCACATTTATTGCAAAAAAAGTCAAAAATTTGACTGATAGAATGGAGTCGTGTAGCTCGTACCCGCGGCAGACCTATGCCGGAAATCATATTTAAAAAATAAATGCCTTGAAATTATTATAATGATTGATTATAATGATAAAATTTCATTCTAAAAATACTTCTGTCTTATATTATTATTTTAAGTACTCATGCAGCTAAAAATCACCAGCTATATCATATATGATTAATTGCGCTAAAAGTAATTGTAAATCTACTCAAATTAGGAATCAGAATTTTAATATATTCTTTAATATCCAAGAGCTGTCCAAAAAACTTTTAAAGTTACTTTATGATGACCACAATCTTAAGAAGTAAATATTCCTTTTTTACTGGAAATACTTTAAAAGTCCGTTGAAATCTGACAAGAATTTTGGATGAAAAAAAATTTTAAGATTTAATTAGTCAAGAAAAACAAAATTTTGCTTTTATATAAAAGTTGTTATCAAAAAAAATTTTTATTTTCATTTTCAAAAATATTAATTAATTTTGACGTTTAAAACTTTCGATTGTTTTATTTGAGGATATTTAATAAGTAAACTTTTCTCAAATAGTCAGTATTTTATAAGTTCAGTTTTGAAACAAAATATCTCAAACATTTCAATGAAATAATTTCAAAGTTTATATTTTTAATTTATTTTGTTTTTTTATGCAATTTAAACTTGAAATTATGAGTAAGTTTTGCCAGAAATTTTTAAACTTTTATTATTGAAAACATTTAAACTTTCGAGTCAAGTAATTTTTGCTCAACAAATTTTACACTTTGATAATTTCAATAAATTTCATCTTATATGTTTATAGGTTTTTATTGATAAATATTATTTCAATATAAAAAGAAATTTTTGTCTCTAGAAAGTTTTAACGAACTTCTGTAAAGAGAACTCAAAAGTTTTGATATAATCCATCATTTTCGGCTACCTTAACATAGAATAATTCATTAAGGAAATAAACAAAAAATTCTTTTGAAGATAAAAATGTGAAGGAAAAAAGTTCGAAATATTTAACAGCCTCCCTT